CCAGTTTACTCACCGTTAATCTGTGATCTCTCACATATCATGTGCATCCAAACACTCTTGGTGGAACAACAAAAATATTCGAGCCCAAGAGCATCTCACATGGTGTCTTCATCCCTAATACTCATGATGGCATCCTGTTGATCAAATAAGCTGTTGTCATAATAGCCTCACTCCATAAAAACTTAGGCACATTCATTGTCAACATCAATGAGCGTGTCACTTCCAGTAGATGCATGTTCTTACGCTCAGCCACCCCATTCTGAGCAGGGGTGTCTGGGCAGGTGGTTTGATGAAGAATTCTCTGACTAGAGATGAAAACCGCAAACTCCTTGTTGACATACTCAGCCCCATTATCTGTTCGAAGAATCTTCACCTGCACTCCAAACTGTGTCTTCACATAAGCCGAGAAATCTTGAAAACATTTGTAAACCTCAGATTTCTGCTTCATCATGTATATCCAGACCATACGTGAATAACAATCAATGAGAGTAACAAATCATCTAAAACCACTAATAGAGGTAGTAGGACATGGTCCCCAAACATCAGAATGGACAAGTGCAAATGGTTCAAAACTTCGAAGACCAATCATTTTATAAATAGAACGAGTATGTTTTCCAAGTTCACGAGCATTACAAAATAACTCTTTTCTATCCACTTTCTTCATTATCTCAGGTTCTAACCTATTCAAACTATCAAAAGATAAATGCCCTAATCGGTAATGTTGAAGCATTGCTTCTGCCTCTGGCCCTCCACTAATAACAGCACCAATCATTGCAGTCTCTCTGTCCAAATACCAAAGGCTATCACGCCTGATGCCAATCCCAATCCTCTTCCCCGTTTCCTTCTCCTGAAAGACACGCATATCCCGATCAAATAACACAGTGCAATTTAATTGATCAATGAGAGCACTAACAGAGTAAGTTAACTGAAAATGAAGGAACATACAATACAGATGACAAGGTAACAGATGAAGTGCAATGGACCGAGCCAGTACCCCTGATGGGTTGGGATGTCCCATCAGCAGTCTGAACTGTCTCAGGATGCATATGCTTACTCGGATAATATAATGCAAACTCACTAGATGCTCCTGTGACATGCCTAGATGCACCTGAGTCAATGATCCAATCAACATGAGTTTTAGTGGATGTAAGTGTCTGAACCCGTGTACCTTTGTTCGCATGAGCATAACCAACAAAGTTACCAAAGCAGGTAGTGTTATCCAGATCTTGAGTGACTTGTCCCTTGCCCTTCGAACTCTCAGCCTGAAGCTTGAACTGACGTAGTTTCTCCAGCTCTGTCATTTCAGCTCTAATCATCCCAGCAGTGGTCTGGGACTCCTCTGTCACAGCTAGGTAAGCAACTCCTCGGTCTCCACGTCCCCTGCCTCCTCGACCTGTACGACCACCTCTCTGTCCTCTGCCCCCTCGGCTATCACCAGTGTTACGGGGTTGAGGGCAATTGTAGCTGAAATGCCCATTTTTCCCACAATTGTAGCACTCTTTATCATCTCTGATGTGAGCATCTGGAACGACTAATGCCGAGCGAACAGCCGGTGAGATCTCGCCTATCATTACCTTCTGTCTAATCTCCTCTTGTTCCATCAATGCAATAGCCTCATCCAAGAAGAGGAGAGATGACAGGTGGTACATTGCTGCCCTCCTTCCCTCAAACTTTGGGTTCAGGCCCTTGAGAAAGCGAGCCACACGCTTACGCTCAAGATACTGCCTCCCAATAAGAACATCTGCCGGACTCTGTAGTGATAACGGATCATAGTGGTCCAAATCCGTCCATAAGTGACGTAGCTGTGCTGCATACTGGTGGACTGTCTTCTCCCCTTGTGTGGTAGCATCAATCTTCTCCTCCACTTCCATCATCATCATCACACTCCCAGCTCCAGAGTACATCCCCTCCAATGTCTTCCAGACATCAGTTGCACTTGAGATAGACTCCACCATCCCAGCTATGGTTAGTGACACAGAAGTCAACAACCAAGAAACCACCAGAGAGTTAGTGTTACTCCATGTGCTCTACTCAGCACTCGCCTTATTCTCCGGCTCAGTACACTCCCCCTTCACATACTTGTCAAGTCCTTTGATTCGAAGGTTCAACAATGCCCTCCGAGATCAACTCAGATAGTTTCTTGTCCCCTCAAACTTGATGTCATTAGGCAGCAATTTTATCCTCTGCATTGCCTGCGCTGATTCCGATGCGGCCACGTGACCTACTAGAATTCTCCTCTAGTTTGGTCTGAAATACCCTGGCCATCCACTCCAGAATCTCCTTCAGTTCCTGACTAGTCACAGGTGTTCCCATCTTCACAGTTAGTGGCTCTTATCTCAAACCCAACACAAAAACAAACAAAAAAATAATGGCCACCTCCAAATGGAAGCAGCAAAACAAGACCTCGCCTTAGCATCACCCAACGACAGTTACAAAATCCCCCAATAAAAAAAAAACCCTTGCAGGCCAGTTGCAAAATCCCCCAATCAAAAAACCCCCTTGCAGGCCCAAGAGACACCGCAGGCCCGTTACCCCTCTAGGCCCACCAAATGACAGCAGCAAACTTCATTTCCTTCTCGTCCTCCAAGCAAAATCCCTCCACCGTGACTATTGAGCAAAAAATCCCTAAAAAATTTCCTCTGAAGAAAGAGAGATGAACTCCATTTCCTTCTTGTCCTCCTTCATCTCCACCAGAATCCTACCTCCTCGCCTGAGGCCCTCGATCCCCATTGCAGTTCCTCTGGCTATGGTGGCGGCGGTGCGCGCGGAGGCAACGCCTTCGAAGGCAGCGGAGTCCGGTGCCCGAAACGCCGAGCTTCGAGGACATCCACGAAAGCCAAAGGCCGGTGTCTCCGGCGTAGGCTGCAGTCGGGGCTTTGGATGCTAAAGATCCCAAGTTTGAGGATGAGAAAAAGATAGCGACGTTCACCAACGGAGAGTATCGCTAGAGGAGCTGCCACATGGCTTTGATACCATGTCGTGTTTGGGGGAAAATTAGGGTTACTGTCTTTCATAAAGAGGTACCCTTTTATATTAATGCACTCTTACAAATAGGTCCTTACAACATTAACTAATTAACTTAATCTATCAAAATAACTCAACAGTCTGCTATGCTACTTGACACTTCCCTCCCACACAGACACTTCCCTCCCACACAGAGACGGATACATTAACAAGCCAGGGGTGCAACTGCATCTCTAGACATTTCCAAAATTGCACGTAAGGTCATATAACTTTTACATCCACCCCCCACCCCCTACCCCCCAAAAAAATTTAAAAATTAAAAATTGCACCCTAAAGCCCAGGCTATCTAAAAAGATTAAAGAAATTAGTAAAAGTTTGAATTAGCCCATTAAAAAGTGAAAGCCTATCTACATTTCTAACAATAAAATATACTAAGTACATTCCTACTAGATACTAGAATTTTATAATATTATATTTTTACTTTTAGATGAATAAACACTCGCGCGCCCCCCACGAAGAAATTTTTTTTCTGGATTCGCCCCCACATGTCTCTAGGAAAGCAATTCCGCCTAGTTTCACCTTTGCATACATCCTTGGAATGATCTATCTTAGCAATATAGATTTGCAAATTAGATTATATACAATGTCACAAGACTATGGGGCTGTTTGGCAACCCACTAAAACTGGGCCAGGTTTGAACCTGGTCCAGTTTTGATCTATTTTGTGTTTGGGAAAAGTTGGGCCAACTCTGGCCCAGCTTTTTCTAGTTCATTTTTAGCCCTCAAAACTAGGCCAGAGTTGAACCATCCCCTACCCAGAATCAATTCTGGCTTGGTTAAAGTTTGGCCTTGTTTATGTTGGGTTGCCAAACAAAGCCTATGTATAAGCATAGAATCAAAGAGGTGTCTTGTCACATCTAAGTTGAGTGTCTGAGTGAGTGAGGAACTTGAGGGAGAACAAGAAGTGCAGAAACTAGATTGTCAAATGGGTAATCTAGTCCACATGTAAGTCTTATTTAGATATGAACCTGAAACTCTGAAACTCTATGAACAAGCTAAATTGTAAAAGATGAACCCAGTTAATAGGGCCCTCTCCAGTCCTCAACTCCTCATTCCCACAATTTTTCAACAAGATCCTAAATCTGCACTCTAAACTTTCAAGGAACTTGACTGCTGAAAACTCAGCGATCTTTGATCGAAACCATAAATACTTGACCCAATCCAAAATCATGGCCAAATTCTAAGAGTGAGCTAAGATATTAAACTCTTAAGTCCATATGGAAACAATAGGCATGATCTCTAAAAATATAGCACTACTAGCTATCCCAGAACTCTAACCCTGAAGATGCTGGAAACTGAAACTCTACCCTCTGAATTCTAAAATGAAACAAACACTAAATGTCTAAACTCTGGAAACTGAAAATTCATCAAGGCCTTCAACTTAGTAAATCTATCCTCTGAATTCTATAAGTGAAACAAACACTAGTGCTTAACCTCTAGCACAATCCTTGAACAAATACAAACTTAAAGCCATAGAACAGAAAGAAACTTAAGCAGAAGTCTCTACTGTAGACTTTTCGATAATGTGAATGTTCACATTTCTTTTCTCTAAAAGCAGACGAGCTTATATGAACATAGTCAGCAGTTGTTAAAAGGTTAGTTAAGCTTATATGAACATAGTCAGCAGTTGTTAAAAGGTTAATTATCTATATGCAAAATTTTACCTTTAAGATTCCAAAAAATCATCTTTTTTTAATTCATGTGAATGTATATAATGTGCGTGCATCTTATCTATGATTGGAATATATTATTTGTCAATTTCTATAAGCTTCAGCCTAGAAAAGTCAATACTCTATCATCTGTCACTATTTCTAGTCAACAATTGTCAAGGTCAGCATGTAACATGCAATTCATAGAAAAAAGGTAGCTTGTTAAGAAAAAAAGGGTAGCTTGTCATAGTTTCATAAACATTGGGCACAGATAATCATAAGCTATGAAATCATAAGCATTGAACACAAATAATCATAAGATACTCGCCATCAATGATAGATATATCAAGTCCAAGTTCACGAAGTGTCCTACAAAATTGAAGAAAACACAATGTCACAACAGGCCAAACAAGCAGAAGTTATGAACCATGAACAAAGGAACTGAAAGAAACTACATACCTGAGATGCAACTCTTTTATAAGGCCGAATTCATCAATATCCGATGCCTTCGATACACCACAACACACAGCTTTCTCCCCGGCCTAAATTGAGATTCCAAAAGGCACAAAATGAACAAAATGAGCAAACCAACACAATAAAGAGAGTCCTTTTGAATGACAAAACGTCTCAATTACCAGAAGAAGCTTGTTTGTAGTTTTTCCCATAGCCGAGAGAACAACAACAGGTCTTTCTTCAGGAAAGCTAAGAATCAGCTCTGCAACCTCTCTCATCCTCTCAGCTGAAGCCACCGACGACCCGCCGAACTTCATAACGATACTGAGCTGCTCCTCATTTCCTTCAGAAATATCCCTTGACATCTCATTCTTCCCCACAGTAGCTGGCCCTCTCTCACAAGAAACCTTCAAAGCTCGCCCCCCTCTGTAACCCTCCCTTCTCCTACAAGTAAACCTCAAACATCGCTCGAAATCGGTTCGATTCCATGAATTCCCTAAAAAGGAAAGAGAGTTCGGCGAGTCTGATGTCAATCCAGCGCAATGAGCTCTGAACCCAAGGTGAATTGCCCCCGCCATTGACCTAAGCTAAGAATCGATCTCAGTTCCTAGAACCAAGATGGAGGTATCCTATTCTATTAGGGCAAGTGACAGAAATTTGCAGAAAATAGCATTAAAAAAACACCAACAACAGATCAAAAATCAAAGGAATGCTAATGGAGCTAACACCAAAAGAAATTTCTACTGTTCCAGTGTCAAAAGCGAAAACAGTAGAATCAGCCAGACACTCGAGAGACAAATCTAGGCAAATTTTTAGCCAAGAAATTGCATCAAAATCTTGAGAAAACCTAATAAAATAGAGAGAGAGAGAGAGAGCGCTTGCGATTCATACCTCGAGAGAGCTAGGGCGTCACAAATCTTGGCTCTCCTCTTGCCGTTATTGTGGAGCTCGAGCTCCAACGGAGAGAGAGGAGAGCGGCGATGCTTGGAGAATGGACAAATTTTCAAAACCAACTCTTTTGGTTTTTTATTTGTAAAAAATGACCTATTTCAGTTTTATTTGCAAAAACCGACCTGGTTTCAGCCTCAGCGCTGAAACCAGGTCGGTTTTTGAAAAAAAGTTTCCGAAACTTCACGAGAGTTGAACTCCCGTGAAGTTTAGCAGCTTTTAATTAATCTGCTAAACTTCACGGGAGTTCAACTCCCGTGAAGTTTCACAGTTAAAAAAAAAATTTGAACTGTGAAACTTCACGGGAGTTGAACTCCCGTGAAGTTTAGCATTATAATTAAAAGCTGCTAAACTTCTCGGGAGTTCAACTCCCGTGAAGTTTCGGAAACTTTTTTTCAAAAACCGACCTGGTTTCAGCGCTGAGGCTGAAACCAGGTCGGTTTTTACAAATATTTTGAAAATGGGTCGTTTTTAACAAATAAAAAATCAAAAAGGTTGGTTTTGAAAATTTGTCCCTTGGAGAATTGTACTGAGAGGTACCGTTTGGCAAAGGGTTAAGTGAGGGGTTAAGGAGACTTAACCCCTTCTTAACCTGCCAAACACAACAAATCTATATAAGGGTTAAAGTGAGTTAACCCTCCATAATTTGCCAAATATAAAAAATATAGAAGAGTTAAGTTAACCCCTCTAGATGGGTTAAAATGAGTTAACCCCTTAAAATGAGGGGTTTACTAATACTCCTATTTAGATGGAATAAGAGTTAACCCTTCTAATTATAAAGAAAATAGTCAAAATCATTGTTATTCCCAAACACTAAAACTGATCATAAGGGCTAAAATAAAACTTATTTAACGGGTTAATAATTTAGTCCTTCGGATTATCAAATGGGCTAAGTACATTAATCCTTTTCTTTAACCCATCTTCATTAACCATTTGCCAAACGGGGCCAAAAAGAATTATTTGAAGAACTGAGGGCTTCGCGCTAATTTTGTCTAAATTGAGAGTCGGGATGGAAATGTTTATGGGTTTCTGGTGGGCTGGCTCCGTGCTCGTGCGATCAAGGTTTTCTTATACTAATTACTAGCCGTGAACATCGTGCTTTGCCCGACATACTCTTTTTTTGGGTACAGTAAATCCGATTTTAAAATACTGTAGTAATATTTTTTATTTTTGAATAGCCACAGTTATCGTCTCTGCTACAGTTTTTTTAAAATGCTATGGTATTCCCTTATGCTTTAGTGATATTTTTCCAAAAATTCGTTATGATATCCAGGTTTCTATTTGCCACACTAGTAAATACTACAGTAAATATTACTGTAGCATTTTACTGTAGCATGAATAGTGGATACGTTATGCAAATGCACATAAAAGATTAAAAAATAGTTTTTAATTAAATTTGGCTTAGCCTATCCTGATATTTGGAATTTTGGGGAGAAGTCGTGGTTGCGGATGTGTAAATTGGAATACTTCGAAACTTAAAATGTTATGTGTTATAGAAAATCATGTGATGTCTATTGCTATATATATTGTAATTCTTGATCCATGTTTTCGTTTGCATGTCTGTGTCCAATCATCTAAAATAATATTAAATAAGTATTTTTTCCCTAATTTTATACTAATATTCCGGTGTACATGATGCATGTATGGTACGAAATGTAGGGGCAGTACTAAAAAGCCTATATTTGAATTTTAAAGAAATGTGTGTATATCATAGTATATTTATATATATAATATATTAATATATATATATAATATATATATATATATATATATATAATGTATATACTATAGATATATATATATATGAGAAAAATGGGTATACTTGGTAAGGAAGGATCCTTGTAGTGATGTGGACACCATCTTGTCCTACATCACACCTTGAGAATGGAGCCTCACCAACTTCAAGTGTGATGTATGGAGCAAGACTGTACTGCCACATGCACTACAAGGATCCTATGCCCAAAGTATAGCCCCCATATTCCTCTACTATATAGTATATATATATATATACTACTATTATACCTATATATACTAATACTATATATATGAGAAGTGTTCCTAAGGTGACGCTTTAGATAATCATCTAAGGAACGGTCCCTCAAATAACATAATTGATGCTACATTATGGATGATCCAGAGCCGTTCCAATTGCGAAACTTGAATCTACTATTCTATCGCCCACACTACAAGTTTTAACGTGGTTCCAAGTATTGGGGTGAAGCGCGTCGTGCAATTTGGGCCATTCATCCACAATCGTATCAATTTTAACAGTTTCGAATTGAATAGAACTTTTCAATGGCCTCAACGGAGGTCAAACGAACGATGAGCAACTTTTCACCGCCAGAACTTGACTTGGTTGGGGTTATTAGAATATGTACATATCCAGCTTCAACGGGACGGCATTTCCTACAATCACATGTGGAGAGTTGTTCAGGACCTGCGTCCTAGTGTTAGGATATCGTGAAGACCTAACTATCAGCATGGCCCTATACTTCAGAGAGGAAACAAAGTGGCACAGGAGGAACAGGATTCGACGCGTGGCGGAGAAAGATTTGGTCAAGCAAAACGAGAAGGAGAGGCGAGTTTCTGCATCGGACGTCGAGACCGGTTAAAGCACTATTAGACCAATAGCGCGGAACGGTGCACGACAAAAGAATGACAATAGGCCGCTGATTACGTCTTTTGCACACAACTGGGCGTGCACAGGCCTACGAGAACTCATTCCTGCCTGGTCGCCGACCATACGGAACGCTCTAAAGACGGTCGCCGACCAGCACTAATCGCAAAAGTCCAGAAGAGGCAAGCCCAAGACTGGCAGACATCACTCAGGCCCACCTAAAACTTGCTTTTTCACAGAAAGCATCGCATCGGCGGTCGACCTTGCACATGGCGCTGGCGGCTCGACCGCTGCCAATAGTCCAGAGAGCTCGATGCAGGAATAGGATATCGTCGCGGTCGAACCCGCACGTGGTGGCGGCGGTCCGACGCGGAGTCGGTTTTGGCCCAGTTTCGAATTTAACGCTGTTTTGATCTGTTTCCTGTTTTAGCTGTAAAAACCCTTAAGTCTATAAAAGGTTTGATTAGGGGGCATGATGTATAGAGACGAAAAATTAGTGAATTTTTTTCTCCTACGGCGGCCGTGACGTAGTTTCTCACATTGAGAAGCGAACCACGTAAATCTTGTGTGTTTGAGATTGTTTGATTTTCTCTCTTCTCTCCTAAATCTCTATTTCCAAATCGCATCAGGGGGATTGTGCTGTTGGCCTTCTTGTTTTGATGATGTTTAACAAACAATTTATTACTAATGTTGTTTGTCTAGTATTTTTGTTTTCGCATTTATTCTAGGCAAACAACGTTGTTGGAGGATGGATGGAATAGACCTTCAACGATTTCAAGCTTCATCCGCAACGGGTACCAAGTCAAGCTAAATTGAAGATCAAGATTGCTTGGGTAATGTAGTTTTAGATTTTATATTATGTGTGTTATATACTCTAAGCTCAATATCTATACACACACATTATATTGGTTTTCATATACATATAGTGATATATATATATATATATATATACATACGTTTTTGGTTTTATAGTTTTCGGGCTTATATATGAAACAAATGCATAGAATTGGAAAATACTATTTAGTTTCATGTTTATATGCCTATATATGATTTCACCTTTAACAAGCTTATTATCAAAAAACCGGAAGGGGCGTGGGTTACGTCACACCTCCCCCCGTCTCGGAAAACGAAATCAGTAATTACTTACGTCATGACCAGTCATCTGGAATATCGTCATACGAGTCCGACGTCAGTATTGGACCCTTCTTTAAAAACTTGACTGTGAACATGGTTTCAACAAGTCATCCAGACGAAGACGCAGGGGGTGACGAGGAATTATTGGAATCGACTGATGATCCTTGGATCAAGCGTCTCAATATCCTGTGGGATATGCGTTTCGAACAACGTGAACCACCCACTGAAGATAAAGTGATCCAAGTCAACATGGGAGATGAGTCTGACCCCAAGCCCATCTTTATAGCCGAAGACCTATCATCCACCGAGAAGGAAGACCTTATATCTCTCATCCGAGAATATATAGATGTCTTCGCTTGGAACTATGAAGATATGCCTGGCCTTGACCCGAAGGTTGCCGTGCACCGTCTCAACATTGATCCGGACGCAAAACCCGTTAAACAACAACAACGTAGGTTTCGTCCAGAGATCATGGAATCAATCGAGTCAGAAGTTAAAAAGCTTATAGACTCAGGTTTTGTGAGGGAAGAACAACACCCAGATTGGGTAGCCAACATTGTTCCAGTTCCTAAGAAGAATGGTAAAGTCCGGATATGCATCGATTTCCGCGATCTTAATGCCGCCTGTCCAAAGGACGAATTCCCACTTCCTATCACGGATGTTATGATCGACAACACCTGCGGGTATGAACGGATGTCTTTCATGGACGGATTCTCTGGGTACAATCAGATCAAGATGCACCCGGACGACGAGAAGCACACTGCCTTTAGAACACCACTGGGGGTATATTGCTACACAGTGATGCCCTTCGGCCTGAAGAATGCAGGTGCAACTTATCAGCGTGCAATGAACACGATCTTTCACGAACACCTCCGGAAGAAAATCGAGTGCTACGTTGATGACATAGCGGTAAAGAGCCAATGCAGAGACGATCATCTTGCAGATCTGAAGACCATGTTCGAAATCATGCGAGCACATCAGCTGAAGATGAATCCGACAAAATCATTTCTCGGAGTTTCAAGTGGAAAATTCCTGGGATTTATTGTTACATCCAAAGGAATCTCTCTTGACCCAGAAAAAGTGCGTGCCATCCAAGACATGCCACCTCCGAAGAATCTCAAAGAGCTCAGAGGTTTGCAGGGCAGACTGGCCTACATTCGAAGATTCATCTCAAATCTTTCAGGGCGTTGCCAACCTTTCTCTAAACTCATGAAGAAAGGAGTATCCTTTGTTTGGGATGGAGAGTGCCAAAGAGCATTCGATGAGATTAAGAAATATCTTACTCAACCGCCAGTTCTCGTGGCC